GTATTAGCCGAGCTTTGTAGTGTGTCTTTGTGTTAGAGTCAAAGGCTCATCTCCAAATTCTTCTCCTCAAATTTCTTCTATATTAAGAAATATAAGCAACAAGTGTTAGAGTTGAATCCCCATCTCCTAATTCTTCTCCTCAAATTTCCTTCTATGTTAAGAAATATAAGTTACGTGTGTAAGAGTTGAATCATCATCGCTAGATTTTTCTCCTCAAATTTCTTTGTATATTAAGAAATGTAAGATATAATTACCCAAAAACCGGTCCTAGGGTTTTGTCACTTTTGTACACATGATTACTTTAAGTACATGTTTCTATTTGGTAACAGTATAAAACCGGTTCTAGGGTTTTTGTCTCAATTTTTTATACATCACTAGGATAACTAGTGTTCACCCTCTTTCCTAAACCCTAACCTGTGTCTCTCTTCTCATTCTCTCACCGTGTTTTAAAGTGATTGGTTGTATGAATAATAAACTCACGAAGTGACTATCACCTCATATTTAGATCATCTTAAACATGACCATAAAAGTCCGCGAGCGTATTAGTATGTAGCTAGAGTACTAGTGCACTTCCAATAATCGGATAGCAAATTACAAACAATTCTAAGTTTAGTTAAAAAAATGTACTTATCATATTTTCGTTTTTAAGAGAAATTTTGATCCAAATATCTCCATGTGGAACAATTGATTTTTTTTATTTTTTAGGGAAATTGTAATACTCATAAAAATTGGAACAAAAAACAAAGACAAGAATTGATCATTGGAGTTAGGAGACAATGATATGGTATGTATTTTAGAGAGTATCTCGATAATGAAGTTAAGAAGTTCATTAACAAAAGAAATTTTATTTAATTACTAAATTAAAAACTAGTTAATGAAGAGGGATACACAATAGGTCATATATGCATGCTTCTTTAGGTGTCAAGCTTGAATAACCGAGCTGAGCTCAAGCCTAATTCAAGGTGTTTCGTAAAAAAATTGAGTTGCTCACGAGCTGAGCTCAAGCCTACTTCAAACTTGGCTTGTTTCTTAATTGAGTTGTACTATGCTTGGCTCGATTCTTTCACGAGCTGAGCTTTGACGAGCCAAACACGGGCCAAACCTAATGCGAGTTCAAATTGTTTCGAGCCAATTTATAGCCCTAGTCCTTAGCATTACTTTTCACAAAAATCCATAAAATCCATCCTTAAGCATCATAACACCGCCTAACCAACATCCTGCCCAAAACTTGTTAGATTTGATCGTCAGTCTAAAGTGAGCGAAGTATCGATACAAAGAAATAATTCGAGTTTCTAAGTGAAGGTATATGGTTGTGTTATTGATCACTGCCATGTCAACTAATATGGTTAAAATTTGTTAGATTTGGACAAGATTGGTTGTGTTTGGTTAAGAGAGTTAGTAAGGGTCACTTAGTCATTAAGAAATATAGATGCTATATATATAAACTCTTGCAAGAATTCTTCATTACATTCAATAGAACAAATCAATGCATTTACTCAATAGTTTTCTTCTTCCTCAAGCTCCAGTTCTCTTTGCTTCCTCTTCAATTACTTATTCTTCATTTCTTCAAGTTATGCATAGATCATTTACAATAGTTGATTTTGATGTGGCTTTGTGAAAAAATTTGGACCTAGGTTCGTCTCGTACGATTTGGGGGTTTTTTTGTGCCCTAGTTCTTCAGCATCAACAATGGCAATCTAGGTTTTCTTTATGGTGTTGACGATCTTGGTGGTATTTCAGGTGAAATGTTTCAACTCTCTTTGTAGTCATGATATGTGAAGTTTGATATTTCTATGTTGCAAATCTTAGAATTTTCTTGAGGCATGAAGCCATTTATGTTTGTTTGTTGTTGGGACAAAGCCATTTCTGATTGTTTGTTGTAAGCAAAAAGCCATTCTTTGTTAAAGTTGAAGGCAAAAAGCCATTCTATTTCTAAGGCAAGGATTAATACATTGAACACATAATTTCAGACAATATAAAAAGGGGGTGATTCGATTGATCTGTATTTGTCTAAACTCATGAGGATTAAGGATCAATTACTTACTGCTGGTGAATTTGTGTCTGATAATGATTTTATTGTAGTCGCTTTATCTAGTTTTCCTAAGGAATACTCTACTATAAGGATTGTCATTCTCACAAGAGATACTTCAATTTCATTCACGGAATTTAGGGACAGTTGTTATGTGCATAGAGAGAGTTGTTTCTTTGGTGAATAGTTTGTCTCATAACTTCGCTAGTTTGTATATGCAAAGGTCTGGTGTGAATAGTTTTCCTTCTGTTATATCACAAGGGTCTTCCAGTAACTCTAAGGATGTTCCATTTACTACTGGAGAAATTGTTGCTAGAATGCCTTATGGTATTGTATATTTTGGAATGCCATTTTCTTAACAAGGGTCTTCATCATCCAGTTTTGTACCATATGGGCACACTAGTTTTTCTCCATATTCATCTAATCCTATGCCATATCCTTATAATGTTCCTATAATGTACCTGCATATCTTGGTAATCAGTATACCATTCCACAACCTTCACATCATGTGTTTCCTGATTTTCCAATGCTTATGGTTTATTGGGAAATGGTAGTGCACCAAGGCAGTTTTCAAATCAAAATTGTGGGCCTAGACCTTTCTATGGTTCAAAGTCAAATAGAAATGGAGGATATAGGCCTTCACAATTTGGTAATGGTAGATGTCAGTCTTCTGGTGGAAAGCAAAATAGTGGAACATGACAATCATGGTCTAGGAATACTGAAGCAAGAACCAACATTGTACCTGAATGTCAAATTTGTTAAAAAAAAGGTCATATTGCTCTTAACTATTGGAAAAAACTATTCATCCTAGCTAAGTGTGATAAGTGGTTGAATGTCAAATTTGTGGAAGAAGAGTGCATAGTGTTTTGGATTGTCATCACAAGAATAACTTTGTTTATCAAGGCACTGTACCACCTTCATCTTTGACTACTATGCAAGCTCAAGCTCCTTTGATTTTCTTACCTAATGATTCTTGGATTGTAGACACATGAACATCTCATCGTATGATAGAAGATGTGAATTCTCTTTAACAGGTTACATCATATGAAGGAAGTGATAAGATTACCTAGTAATGGGGAAGGTTTACCAGTTCAACACATTGGTTATGCAAGATTTACTCTCTCAAATTCTTTAATTTCGAGAAATGTTTTGTATATTCCAACTATTGCAGTCAATTTATTATGTGTCAAACAGTTATGTGAAGACAACTTTGTTGGTTCATACGTGGTGAACATGATTTCTTTGTGCAGAACAAGGTAACCAAAGCGAAGGTAACCAAAACGTATGAGCAGTTATGGAGGGTTGTTTTGAATTCCAACCAAGTTAATTTGAAGTGTTATAGTTACTTAAGCACACAAGCTGGTGGCTCTACATGGTCAAAAAGTGAAGAATGTAGTATGGCATCAAAGACTTGGACAACTTAACAATGAAGTACTTTATGCAATGTTGAGGCAATCAAACATAGTCAGTTCTCTTGATGATTAACGACATATGTCTTCTTACAATATTTCTGGCAAGATGTTTAGGTTACCATTTGTAGATAGGAAAATAATATGTATCTTTCCATTTCAGAAAGTCCATTCTGATCTCTGGGTTCCTTCACCTACTAAGTTCATAGAAGGTTATGAATGCTATGTTAGCTTTGTGGATGAATTCACCAAATATGTATGAATATTTCTTTTAACCAATAATAAATCATAAGTATTTGATGAATTTCAGAAGTTTTATAGTTTGTTTTAGCTCAGCTTAATGTTGGAATTAAGTGTCTTCAACTGATGGGGGAAGAGAATACATGAGTAAGAGATTTGATGATTTTTTGAAAATCAAAGGAGTAATTCATATAATTTCTTGTCCATATACTCAGCAAAATGGAATTATTGAGAGAAACATGCATGCTGATGAGACTTCCATAACTCTTATGACCAAGATTCTAAAAGACGCTAGTCGCTAGTTGCTAGTTGGGCGGTGGGCTGGGGTATAACGCTTAGACGGGGCCCAAGCGAGTTAGTTCATTAAGACACATGGGAGTGTTGTTATTGATCATTTCCATGTCAGCTGATATGGTTAACATTTGTCAGATTTGGATAAGATTGGTTATGTTTGGTTAAGAGAGTTAGTAAGGGTTACTTAGTATTAAGAAATATAGATGCAATCTATAAAAACTCTTGCAAGAATTCTTCATTACATTCAATGGAACAAATTAGTGCATTTACTCAGTAGCTTTCTTCTTCGCCAAGCTCTGGTTCTCTTCGCTTTCTCTTCAATTAATTTTTCTTCGTTTCTTCAAGCTATGCATAGATCATGTACAGTAGTTAATAATAATGAGTCTCTAGCGGTCGAGATACCACGAAAATCCCTGCCACCTAAATGTGAAGAGTAAGAAACAATCCTGTAACTAGTGTCTTAACAATTTGAACATCTTGATTAATCACTTATTTCATGAGTTGAAGAATTTATTATGCATGAGATTATTTATTAAGGCATCTTAAATTTATGCATGCATCATGTATCAACATTCCGATCATGGTTATTACTGTTAGTACTCATTAATTATCCATTTATTAAATGGTAAGTAGTACGATAGTGAAATATTTTTAATTCTATCAAAATTGGGTAAGCATAATGGAAAATTGACAATATTATTTATTCCCTTAAATAATTAGATGGCAAAAGGATAAGGGTGGATTAAAAAATATGAAAAAAGTTTGGGTATGTAACAACAGCTTTCCCCAAGTTTCACCCATCAAATAAACCAAAAAAACAAGTGAAAGGAAGCAAAGGTGCATGGTACTTTGAGAAGCCAAAGCCACTCTCAATCTTGTGGCCTTGTCAGGCTTCACTCTTAGGTGGGTCAGCCCCAATTGTACATCATCATTTAGACTCTCACCACCCTTTTATAGGCCCCACACCATCCCTCCTCACCCCCATATACATCAGACTTCCCCCCTTCCCCTCCTCCCCCTCCTCCTCCCTCTCATTTATCCTCAATTTCCCCATTTCCTCCTCCTCGTCCTCAAATTTTCTCATCATACCCAAAATAACTCCTTCTCTCTCCATTTTTTCATGGACAAGGTTGAGAGAGAGACTCAGGACTTCATGAACGTAGAGTCATTCTCTCAGCTACCCTTCATCCGCCCAGCCCCTCCACTCAACAAAGAAAAGGGCATTCGGCTCTTCGGCATAGAATTTGGGACCGACACCGCCACTGACGACTCTGAGTCCCTTGATTACACCAATGCGTCGGAAGACACAAAAAGGAACAACATCAACAACAACACCACCGCCAACAACAACAACAAAAATAATAACAACGAAAACGGAAGTGAGAGCAGCCGGAGATTCGAATGCCATTACTGCTGCCGAAACTTCCCAACCTCCCAAGCCCTTGGGGGACACCAGAACGCGCACAAGAGAGAGCGCCAGCACGCGAAACGCGAGCACCTCCAGTCGGCCATGGTGCATGCCGGAGGCCTATCTCATGACGCACACCACGTGTACGGCTTGCTGAACTACACAAGACTTGGCTCCTCAGCTCTTCATCATCCATCATGGAATATTACTAACTCTAGCTCTAGTATAACTAGTGCTCATCATCATCAGCAGCATCCTCATGCTAGGTTTTATGGAAGCTCTGGTAGTACGTATGGCACACAATCTGCTCCAATAAATGGGAGCCCCTTGGCCTTGTGGCGGATCCCAGCCGTTCAAGGTGCTAACCCTAGTTTCAATCGTGACCGTTCAATGAATTTGGTCTCCGGCGGGGAGGAAATGATGGTGTCCGGGTTCGGTAGTGGGTCGTCCGGTGGTCATCAAGGGCGGTACCTGTATGACTCGTCGATGGCTAGCGTGCAAGATCATGTGAGTTTGGACCTTCATTTGTAATAACATAATATATATATATAGTTATTTTAATAATTGATTACTTAATTAATTACTACTATTTTTAGAGAAAGAGAATTTGAGTGTTGAAATTAATTCTCATGATGATGATGGTGGAAGAGAAGTTTTAATTGTATAATCTTTTGATTAATGCAAATGAGGCCAATTTTAGTCACAATTTTTAGTGGGATTCACTTTGCAAATGATGAAATTATGTTACTGAATTTGACCAGTCTATGCATGGAGAATTTTTATGAGCGTCTGGAACACTTATTAAACAGGAACCCGTACTGTTCTTGATTCTGAAAGGAAAACTACTGTCACGAGAAAGAAAAAAAAGCAGCTATTTTTGGGATGTGGGATGTAAATTTCTCTTTTAATTTGTTCAAAGAAATTAAAACAAAATAGTAGCAGCACACTAATAAGTTTGGTTCTCAGCAATGTCTGTCCCCTCCTTGAGCGTTTTAACTTTTCTGCCACACGTGTGAGGAATATATGGTATCAGTTAGGGGGTGCATGGGCTTTTGTAGATACACACATGTGCATCGATTTATTTGTTTGTTAGTCTAGACGGGTGGGGTGATGAGAGAGGTGAAATTTTATTCAGTGTAAGTGCGATCAGGTGATAAGGTTTGATGAATAGTGTTCAACTTCTGCCTCAAAATATGCAGAAAGAAAATGATATATCCATAGAATTTGCAGATGGCATTGCTTCTTGCAGCTACTTAAAAGTAAATTTTTGCTCACTATCCTGAAGCAGGAATAGTATTCACCGGTTTATTTATTATAGTTAGATAAATTTAAATTTTGAAATTTATATCTATCTATTACATAGATTTTGAATTTAAACTCATCTTACAATGATAAATATGATAGTTAACATCAATATTTCTTTAAGGTAATTAGCATCACAGTCTCTTAAAGATTGTGAGAAAAAATATTCCCACACTTTAATATCCATTTTCTTGCTTATTTTCAGTGCAATTGATTTGAGAGAGAGAGACATTTATCTCTGTGCATGATGTGAGCCCATCAAAGTTTAATTGTATCTTGTTTTCTTAATGATTGAGGGGGAACCTCCCTATTCGCGACACCAATGGCTGAGCAGACAAAGGGGCAATGTGAAGGCCACTAATTTTACTTTTTTGGTTTTTTTTTTCCCCTTCTAGATTATTGATATTTACATTTCTAGTTTGTTATTTTGCATTCTAAATTTAAAATTTATTATTATCTTAAAAAACGCTTTAAAAGAGTGCAATACGACAATTTGGAAGGGTGAATAATATATATGGAGTATCTGCACTGTATACACACACATACTTGGTCTAATTTTGTTCATGTGAGATTATGAACTTGTGGGACCTAAGGGGTTGATTATATAAGCAACAGTTTGAAATGTGGTTTCTGATGGGGAAAAAGAGCTAGCCAGCCTGAAGAAAAATCAGGATACAGTATGATATAGTAGTACTGAATGAGATTATGATCATGAATCGGGGTCATTTCAAACATAAAGCAATAACATGATAGGCTAGTGATGTATATACTAAGTTAAGGATGGTCTACACCTAGGAATCAAACATGGGTCACTTCTCTGTGCCTTATTAGAATCACAGTTTTCATCATTCAAAGGCAGCAGTACCAAAACTTTCATGACTTTAAAATGGCAAACCCAATCCTTGGAAAAAGCATGTGTCCCCCTTAGCTCTCTATGTAAGACCTTGAAGCAACCCTAACTATAAATTATCAAGATGGTAGTTTAGACTCCTATCTTTCTTTCCCCCCTCTTTTGTACCTTTGCTTTAATTTTATGTTCGAGAGAGAGGAGATTTTTTATGGATGCTGAAAACACAAATTACCTAGTGTTTCATTTTTATGTGTTATGAGAATGATGAATGACATGGTTGATATGTTCCACTTTCATAGTATATATTAGTGAAAAACAATTATATGTCTTATAATTTAAATAGAATAATAATATCACGAGTCTGCATTTTAGGTACTTTGAAAAATTACTCGTAAGAGATTGACAGAGAGAGAGAGAGAAATGGTAGGTGGGTTAGTTTTAGGTGTGGGATAGGTGTAAAATGTACAGAGTTTTCTCCAGTGAAGAAGATTGGACATGGGGGGAAGCATTCATTTTTCTCTTTCAACAATAATTCAGTTAGGACTGATGGGTTGTAATCAATCTATATTGCATGTGTGGGAACACAATATGGGTTCAGAATATATTAGCTTGATAATGGACTTAATGAACCTCATACAGCTTACACAACTCACATCACCATAAAGATGCTAAAATTTTGTTCACCATTTGATGTCGGGATTTGTGTTTTGTCTCAATATCTTGCAAAACATTACGGAAAAATATGTACTGTGTACAACGGTTGTCTTTTTTTGTTTTCCCCTCTTTTCCTTTATTATGGTTTTCTTGTTTTACGAGAAATTAAGTTTATGTCTCATCTTAATTAAGTGTAATTTTTTTTATATCAATAAAATTTTGTCGTACTGCAAAAGTTCTTCAAAACAAAAAGTGTATGACTAGTCTGTTTCTTTGTGTGCATTTTAATTTTATATATTGTTTTTCCTTTTGCATACTTGAATATAAACTAACTCCTAATACTGCATAAATTAATTAATTTGGGGTGTAACCTTAATTTCTTTTACAGTCAATCAGAAAATTCATTTTTGAATGAATTACATTACAAATAAGAATGACTCTCGACAATCCTCAACAGCTAAAACGTATAGCACAACTAGTTGGAATTGCATGAATTGTGAAAAACAAAAAAAAGAGAAGGAAAAGCACTTTCAATCCCAAAATCTTAATATAGTTGTGATAGTTTAAACTACCTGCTTAATCATGTAAAAAGCATAGATTTCCTTGTGGAACAAGCCTGTTGAATCTAAACAACGCCCTTGTTGCTTACTTGTACAATATAATCGTCCCTCAATATAGATTAAGTCCTTGGAAAAAGTTGCCTTACATTGCCCTAATAATTCAATCCCCTTAACTAATTATTTGAAGCATATGTTTGGAAGATGTCTATTCATTAATTAATTCGTTAACATCATAACTATCACATTACACCAATTTTGCAAAGGATCCACTTTTTTGGGTAACAAAAAGTTTAGGGGGACGGGAGGCCATCCCATCCCAGGACCAAGGCATACCACAAGCTACTTTAATCAGAGGGGGTCTTAGCCCTTTTTTTAACTATTTCCTATGCATGTATATATAGCTCATACAAGTTTTTTACTATTAGAAAAGAATAGATATATCATTCATTAGCATATGAACAAAAAATTATTTTGCATAATAGCTATATGAAGAATTCCTACGCTAAGCATTTGTTGCAGTAATGTGATCTGATATAAATAGAATCGCAAAGACCCAAAAGGAGTCACCCCCAGTAATCAGTACTAGCAGCGAGGAATTGGGAAAATAAGCTGTTATTCCCATTCAAATTCCAAGTCAATTAGGTGGAGAAATTTGTCTTGAAACCAAATTAAGAAACTCTTTCGAGAACTTCCTATCTACTAATATATCTAATATTTCGATCCATTAATTCTTGGTTTTTCTTTCATGTAACCATAGTACATAAGCCAAAAGAAATACCAAAAGAAAATATAGTATTATTTGCTAGCTTGCTTAACTTGTCTAGGGTAATGAATATCTCTTAACAAAAGCAATTGAATTGCAGAAATAAAGAAGGAAACCACAGTAAGAAAACTTGAGAGAGAAAGTAGAAAGAAGATAGAGAGATTGCATTAATCGAAAGGAATCTTAGTACACACGATAGGCTGGAATCAGCCTTTTTATACATCTTGTAGCCTAACTAACTTCCTTCTCTTGTAAGCTACATATAACCACCCTAACTAACTCTCAACTGCAATATTGATGACATGGTAGATTACATGGCAGATTATGTGGCATTTCTAAGTCAATATAGGTCAACATCCCCCCGCAATCTCAACTAGGGTAACCTAGTTTGAGATTGAAACAATGTTGTGCGATGGACTATGCAGACCCTTAGTTAGAATATCAGCTGTCTGTTCATCAATGGGGAGGTATTCAACTTTCAGATCACCTTGATGCACCCTCTTTCGAACAAAATGATAATCCGTATCAACATGTTTTATCCGTGAATGATAGACAGGATTTGCACTCAGTGCAATTGCTGACATATTATCACAATAGATTGTAGGTTGAACAGGTAAAACAACTCCCAAATCTTTTAAAATTAGCCGAATCTATGCTACATCAGCTGCAGTATGAGTCAGTGCCTTGTATTCTACTTCTGTAGAGCTTCTAGAAACTGATGTTTGCTTCTTTGATTGCCAAGAGATTGGATTTCCTCCAAGATAAACAACATATCCTGTCACGAACCTTCTTGTATTTAGATCAGCAGCCCAATCAGCATCTGAAAATGTTGTTACATGCATGGCAGAATCAGCTGAATATGTAATTCCACACTCTATAGTACCTTGAAGATACCTAATGATCCATTTGACAGAGATTAGATGTACATCCGTTGGAGCAGTCATGAATTGACAAACTGAATTCACAGCATAAGCTATGTCTGGGCGTGTGAAGGTAAGATACTGCAATGAGCTAACCAAACTTCGATACAATGCAGAATCCTGCAATGGTTTACCTTCATTTAGTAGCATCTGACTATGTGGTTTGCATGGAGTATTTGCTGGTTTGCACGACTCCATTCCAGCTTTGTGAATCAAATCTTTAACATATTTCGATTGATTCACAAAGATATCCCCATTCTCTTTGTACTGAATTTGGAGACCCAAGAACTATGTAAGTCTGCCTATATCCTTCAAGTCAAACACACCTGCCAAATCTTCAATAACTTGTTGGACTTTAGTGACACTTGATCCTGTTAAAATAATGTAATCACGTACAGTAACAGAACCACCACATCCTTATCATCATTTTTCACAAAAAGACTAGTATCAAATGCAAAGGCAACAAACCCCAAAGCTGGTAAATAGCTTGTGAACTTTGAATTCCAAGCACGAGAAGCTTGTTTCAACCCATACAATGACTTGACCAATTTACA